GCTGGAGGTGTGCTGTTGCTGGTGTGCTCTTTGTGAAGCCAAACAGCTTTATTGCCCAGATTTGAATAGCTGTCCATACCTTTTTATTCCTGGATCAAAGGAATGAGCATCTTTTATGTCATTCCTCTGTATCTAGCCCATGGCTATGCTTTTGAAGTCCTTTTTTTGAGTGATTAATCTGTGCAGTGGTTAGGATAAGAACACTTTGTTAGTGACCACCTATTTCTGACCTGGTATTTGGAAGCACTGTAGTACTTCTGCCTTTCTTTGCAGACTGGTATATACAGATTTTGAGGGATGAGATATGTGAAGGATTTGTTCCTTGCTGTGAGAAGAGCCAGTTCACATCTTGTGCAGTTTAAGTTAGTGGTTCTCCAACTTCTTTTAGTGTTTGTGCTACAATGTGTTTTTAAGAGTCTCTGAGTAGTTAAAAGAAGCAAATCCCCATCAAGATGATGTTAATAAACACTGTTTAACTGATTTTCCTGGGTTAGAAAATGGTGATCATTACATCCTAAGGAGAGATTTGAATTAATCTTGAAGTGTTTTAAACCATTTAGGGTTTTCTGGCTATAAATTAAAAGCAGGAAGGCAAGAGGGTAAAGATGGCTTGCTTCCTTACTGATGTGGTTCAGTTGTCACATAGGATGGTGGATTCCTCTCCTCCTCTGGGTAAATGTGTAATTAATACCTTCAGAAGTCCTTGTGCTGGCAGAACTGGTTTCAGAAGGCAATTTGAGTGTGCAGAGCTTGAGCTTAATCTGCTGTGCTTGACTTCCAGATACCCAAGTATGTATTAGTTTTTATCATTTCTTCAGCTTCTCTCAAGTCAGATGTAGATGTGATTTGTTAAAGGAAATCAGAGTCTGTTTAGCTGAGCTGTTCTGATTTTTTTTGCTTATTTTGTAATTTTAACTGAAATTTCCTGGTATCTTTCCAGTGAGTGGGAATTTTGTCAAAAAATAAATTTAAAAATACCTTGGTCTATAACTCAGATCAGAATTACTGATGTAGTCTCAAGGGTACTGGGAAATAGAGGTTCTTATTTTCTATCACTTTCCCTTCAATTATAGCGAAAAATAGAATAATTGAAGACTGCTGTTTGTTGGGTTTTTTTCAAGGTAACACAGCTATTGTCTAGTTTTATCCATCCATCCTTTGTGTCCTGTGAATCCATTCTTTGGTTGGAAGAAGTTTCTCATGGAAGAAACTTGGCAGTGTTGTCTGCCTTTCTGGGTACTGCTACTGCTACTTGTGTATCTTTGGCAGTTCCCAGGATTAGTGCTGTCACTTCTGGAATTGCTCTTCTGATACTGGAACTCAAACCTGTTTCCAGAACAAGGCTGCACCACGCTGGCTCTCTTCAGAGTCAATTAAGTGACTTAACAGTTCTCCCAAGTCCTGAAGCAAGGTGCAAAGCCAAGCATTGCCTGCCTGCAGCTAACAGGAATCTGGTTGGCCTGTAGAGGTTGCATAGATTTCTGCTAGAAAAGATGCAGCTTTTTTCTATCTATCTATCTCATGAGGCAGATGAGCCTTGTGGGCTGAGTTCTCTTTATCTGCAGACAAACCAAAGTGCTTTTGCACCTAGTGTGATAAAACCATGCATATGTGGGACTGTTATTGCTTGAGACACCAGTTTTAGTTGCTACCAGGTATCTAAGGATCTTAATTGAAACTGTGATTTATGATGTTCTGTAATACCTACAAAACTGTTTGCCTTTGGGGATCATTCATGGTTGTTTTTATTTTCGAAGCTTTTCATAACCTCCCAAGGAAATGAGCTGTCTGTAATTATCTTTGTCAGTACTTCTCTCTCCTAATGTAATTTTTGAAGTTGTCATGTTCATCTGCAACTCATAGAAATCCCAAAGACTTGAGGTATTGTGGAGCAGAAAGACTAAAGAAAGCTTGAAGTTATTGCAGAACTAGGTGAGGATTATGGGATGCAAATGTTCAGGGAACAAGCTTTTATTATCTGCAGCTTGTAGAACAATTTGTAAATTTTCCTACCATGGCTGGTTTTACTGTTAGTGACAATAAAGACTTTTCGCAGTGTAACTTCATTCCGTTGGGTTGTAACAACTATAAGGCAACAGAAAACATCTACTCTTAGATCCATTGTTACCACTTTGCTGTTGCTGCCATTCCCAGTAGGGGATGGATAGAGCTTATTCCAGGCTGACTAATTAAGGAATGACAGCTGGTTGGAAATATTATTCTTCTTTCATAAGAGCTGTGAGCAACTGAACAAGAATTTCTGGAAATAATGAACTTCCAAATAGGGTCAATTGACAATATTTAGAAGCTGTTCTTCCACTGTGAGAAGCTGTTAGGCTCTTATGGTTGTGGGGGTAAAAAGTCAAGCCTGTTCTTGCAGTGGCTTGAGATGCTGAGGGGGCTGGAGCATCTACCATATGTGGAAGGCTGAGAGAGCTGGGGCTGTTCAGCTGGAGAGGAGAAGGCTGAGAGAGGATCTCATCAGTGCTGGTCAATATCTGCAGGGGATGTCAGGAGGATGGGACCAGACTTTTCTCAGTGGTGCCCAGTGACAGGACAAGGAGCAGTGGTTATAAACTGGAACACAGGAGATTTAAGCTAAACATAAGGAAAAACTTTTTACTGTGAGGGTGGCAGAGCACTGGGACAGGCTGCCCAGAGAAGTTGTGGAGTTGTCTCCAGAGAAGACATTCCAAACCTGTCTGGAAGTCTTCCTGTGGGCTCTACTGTTGGTGGTTCTGCTCTAAAAAGGGTTGGACTAGATGATCTTCAGAGGTCCCTTCCAGCCCTGACCACTCTGTGATTCTGAGACAATCTGTAAGTGCAGGTCAGTCACTGCCTTGCTGGAGTAACTGTAGGGGAGCTCATCACCTGCATCATCAGGCCTTGAAGCTGTCCAGCAGCAGAGCTCAGAGAGCTGGAGTGGGCTCTGTGTTGCATCCCCTTTAAAGCTGTTAGGGAAAACTGTGAGGCAGGTTTCTGTGGAAGGGTGGGTGGGGTAAACATCAAGGTACAGGTTGAGAAAAGGCAGCAGCATGATGTAAGGGGAGAGTTGAGCTAGTAGATGCTAATCTTCCTTCTTGCACAAGAGCTGGCCTTCCCCAGCCAGGACAAGTGACAGCAGCTGGTAGGAATTCTGAAATTCTTCTTTTGCCCAGTGCTGTCGATGTACTGGACAGATTAGAGTTGTCTGATTGCTTCTTCCAGACAACAGGACAGGATCCACCCGCTCATCTTTTACTCTTCAGTTAATAGGCTACGTGATTTAGAGACGCATTGGTGTCTTGAGTTACCATTTGTGTGATCTGAGGAATCACTCCCAAAACAGTTTAAGACAGAAGCAGAGTGAATTTGTGCTCCCTCTTGTGGCACCCTGTGGTGGGAGAGCATCGTTTGCACGTGGGTGCTGGTTATGAGTAGTGTAGTTCTGAATAACTGGAATGATCCTCAGGAGACTACAATTTTGAAAATGTGGAAAGGGTGGTTTATTTTTCCAGCGTTACTGTTTGCTGTATGTCCAGAGACACTAATGTGTGTGTGTATATATATGTATTTAAATAACACAAAACATTTACTGCCCTTGTCCATTCTTGGATTCCTCAGTAGTTTTTTCCTGGGCCTGTATTTGTCATTGTTACATGTGTCATAACCAGACAGACTGGAGTTTTCCCGTCACCCAGTGGACATAGTTTACACAATGTAATCTTTTGTCTGTGCCTTGCCTGCTTTCTCGTACCTACATGCAAGGCAGGAAAGGATTCAAAGTGAGGTTGAGACAAAGCACTGGAGTCAGGCAGGGAAGAAAGGCTTGCTGGTAGGGGTAATGCTGTTAATTTGTCAAGTGTTTTGGTGGTGGTGCAGTACAAACCTTATGCAAGAGGAGGTGGTGAAGCAGTGAATGCTTTGGAGGTGGGATTGTGTTTTGAATGGGGGTTGGATGTAGTTGTTAAGGGGTTAATCCATAATCTGTGATGGTGAGAGTAAAGGGATTGTGTGATTTATTCCATCATGTGTTTTACTTCAGTGTGCTGTTCCTCTTTCTGCTGAGACAGCTGATAGAGGGGAAGAAGGCTGAAATAAAGACAGATTGTTTTTTAAGACCTTGAGTTTTTCATGACAGCCTCTGGCAGTCAGCCTGTGTCTCCTGGGTGGGAATAATGGGGAGGACAGGCTTGGTGGCAGGCTGAGTGAGCAGGGATGGCCTAGGTGTGGGGTACCAGTGAACAGTTAGAAAGAGAGGGTAACTGGGGTATAGACAGCAAAAAAGGAGCAGATAAATAAAACATAAAAAGGGAAGAAATGAGTGAAAGATGTTGAAAAAAAGATCAGCTGTAAAAGGAACATTTGCAGCTGAACGTTTATGGCAATTCTTACAGCTCACTCTTGAACAATAGGGAAGAACACAGTAGGGAGGAGCAGTTATGATGAGGGGAGAGCACTGTAATTAAGTCAGGGTGAAGAAAGTTGGTGGCTGCCAAGGGTTATAGGACACAGGCTATGGCAGTGAATTACAGAAACATTCTGAGAGAAAGTCTCTCCTCCTTGTGGTAAGCTAGAGCTGGAAAAAAATTCATATTCTGTTGCATGTAAGTAGCATATAGTGATTTTTTTTTATATTTTTTTTTCCTGACTAGACATATGCAATCTAACTTTGGCAGAAAGTGCTAGTTGATTACTTTGACAGGTTTAATTACTTTGGCTTGAGTGGGATGAAAATGAATTTATTTCCCAGTGAGAAAAGCATTGAAAGGCTGCATGAAAACCTGTCAAAGGAAATTGAAGAGGGGTTGGGCAGTTATCTTTACAGTAAATGGAATTGATAAACATGTCAGTTAAAAGGGGAATTTATTTATATTTGTGGCCAGAAATTTTTGATCATTCTGTTCACTGGGAAAATGAATTTTATCTGTTCAGTTGATTTGCCTTTTCGTAGTGCTTGTAGAGCAAGGAATTGCCATGGAATAAAGATTTGAAGTCATCACTCTTTTTTCTTTTCCTAGAACACGTCAGTAATGGAGGATCAGAATGAAGATGAGTCTCCAAAGAAAAATACCCTATGGCAGGTAGGACTGACGTTCATATAGAAAGACTTGCCATGCTTTTATGTGTTCCTGCCTTTGAGAAACTTCCAAATCTTGCATCTGCATAATCATCCTTATATGTAGTTAACTGTAACATCCTAAAATTGGCTCAGCCTTCAAGTGAAGGATGACACTGATGAATAATACTTGAGAAATTACTGGATCTTCTCAGATTTTATTGTTTATGCTGACCTGGAAAGGACAATTCTGCATCAAAGGTTATGTGGGAATAACAGTTCAACCTTTCTGTGCATGACACTGTCATTTACAAGGAAAAATTCCATGCAAGGAGTTGCAAGCAATTTGCTTTAAGGAGTTTGGGAATATTTCAGAGAGTTGACAGTTGTTCCCCAGCAGCCTTCTTGGTCTCCTGAAGGGCTCAGAAGAGCCTGGCATTGATTTTGTTTACTAATTAGCAGTAAGTTGTGGGGTGGTGTTCTTGTAGCATCCTTTCTTGTAGCTGAGGCTTTCAGGAGTTTAATGATGTTTTTATGTGGCTTTCACAAACATTGACATGAGTTATTTTTCAAAGAAAGCCCTTAATATCCTGTAATTCTCAGTTTTAATTTGGGGACAAGCAGCCCAGCACTGACATGAGGGTCTTGAATTTTTGTGTCTATGGGAGTATTCATACCCAGCTTGGACACACCTCTAGAAGTGCATGGTTTTAACACTCGTGGGGACAGACTGCAGCATGTAGCAGGGGCAAACTGCAATATGCAGCAGAAACCACTGGCTTCATCTGGAAAAGTCTTTCCTTAGAAGAATTAGGTTCCTTAATCTTTAAATGGTGAGAGGTGGAAGGGAATTGGAGTCTTTCAGTGTAAGAAGAAATGTGTAATAGTGAGCAAGGGCCTTTCATTCATCTCTATCTATGAAAGGTGAAATTTGTGTGGTATAACTCACACCTTTAGAATATATATTAAAATTAAATTCTGCTGATTATTTATATGCATCTTCCCATATTTTCTTCCTTGAGAAAGTTCTTATGCAGCTGTTCCTACTCTTTATTTCTATTTAAATACTGACATTCTTTTTCTAAAAACAGATAAGTAATGGAACTTCATCTGTGATTGTCTCAAGAAAAAGACCATCGGAAGGAAACTACGAAAAGGAAAAAGACTTGTGTATTAAATATTTTGACCAGTGGTCTGAATCAGATCAAGTTGAATTTGTGGAACACCTTATTTCACGAATGTGTCACTATCAGCATGGACATATTAACTCTTACTTGAAGCCCATGTTACAACGGGACTTCATCACTGCGTTACCAGGTACATGAGTTTTGGTTTGGCAAGAGGTGCATTTATAAATACTTTGTTTACTTCTTGGAGTGTATGCAAGCTTTTCAGAACATCCTCCTGGTTTAGATTATCTGCTTCCTAGGCAAAATGAGTGAACAGTCTCTGGGCTCATTCACTTCTGTGATTAATTGAATTGGCCACTGGATGCCAGTGTTGTTCCATGTAAAAGTGGTTGTGACTAACATACCCTGAAGAATAGTATGTGTTTAAATTGGAAATGAGTTGTCCCAAGAGTTGTATGTCTGCAAGCTCTGGTCTAAATTCCTTTTTCATTCAAACCCCAGAGGTGTAGAAAATTCTATAGAGGTGTTGTAATTTGTGAAGTCTTTACTACATTTTACTTTTGTTCCAAGTTTTTCCAAACTTAAATAAAAAGCTGCCTGCTTAGATGGGTGAATCTAGTTTATCTGGTCTTGTTGCTGACTCAAAAGCAAAAGCACTTGTGGATTTTTATGGTGTAGTTCAGGCTTGATTCCTTCCTTCATTGGCTCAGAACCTCTTCTGCTACCAATCAGTGTAAATATGTATCAATATGAATATGAGTTTGAATATAAAACTTGTTCTTACACTTGTCATATGCATTTCTTAAAAATAAATAGAAAAAATAAAGGAGCAGTAATGAGTAGGTATAATCTTTAGCTTTCATTCTTCTGGTAAGTTGTATGTATTTTTCCAGTATTTTCTGGAAGGAATTGTATCCTGGGATTTTTGCTGCTGGGGAGTGATTCATTAGATCCTTTGAAAGTTAAATATGTGGACATTGTTTCCAGAATGGGAAATAAGCATGAAATAAAGTGGCCAAAATGTTCATTTTGCCACTGGCAGTCTAATAGCAGAGATTCACACCCACATTGAGTGAGGAGTCTGTGGGTGTTATCCCAGGAATTCCAAGCCATGCCAGTGAGTGCTGAGGGTGGATGTGGAGGTGATACAAATGTGTAAGCACAGGGACTGCTGAACTCAAGTCCCTTTAAAGTTTTGTGGCTTTACAAGCTCTGAAGCTTCTGTAGTTGTTGATGTGCTTAGGTGGTCCTGAGCGCGCGGATGGGCTTTCCTAGTGTCTGGGACAGAAGCTGCTTGTGTGCTGTGGGTTTCTGTTCTCTGTGGTGCTGCAATATTTTCACAAAACCTGGAGGAATTCAGCTTTTAGAGGTGAAGGGGGGGATTTTGGTGCACTTGTCCAGCATGGTTGGAATGAACTTCTTTCTTAGAAGTTGGAGGGGAATGAAGAGCATGGGGTAGGACACAGGAAGTGATACAGATTATTGTGTGTGCTCTATTTTCTTAAGAAACAGGCTTAAACATGTGAAAGAGGGCTGTGAGAGTGAGTGGCCTTTCCCCCACACCTTTGATTCACAGAAGTTATTTTGTAGAAGACTTCGCCTGTGTGGCCAAACACATAGAAATATACTCCTCCTTTGGACTGGAGAACTGTCTTCTATAGGGACTGTGGGTGTTCCCTCCAGCTTGTATCTAAGATGTTGAATTTTGATTTCTCCAGGGGGAGTATCTGGGATTAACTAAAAAATAAAGTGAAATGGACAATCATGGTCATCATGTGCAAGTATGAGCATCAGTTATAATTTAATTTGCTTTTATTTCATGCCTCAGGGCTGATATCATGGAGATACACAGTCCTTTCATACATTTATTCCTAAGAAATTTTTGGGAGCTGCATAAGTTGACACTTACACCGTTTTGTAAACATAAAGATTTATTTATATATATAAGTTTTGTTACTTCTGAAGATGTAAATACTGGGAACTGTTCCCATACTCAGCCTTTTAAAAGTAATGTGCTTGAAAAATATCTGTACAAATGCACTCAAGAGCTTCATCTAAGTTGATGGAAATCAATTGAGTTTGACTAACATCACGTTTAAAGGTAACAGCAACGTACTGCTACCTTTTAAAAGATAGTTTCACTGGTCTTAAAGTAAAATTCCTTTGTTTTCAACTGAAATATTTTTTTGGTTGCTACTGTCCTTTCTGATTTTACACTGTGAGAGTGCAGGAAGGAGGGAATAAGTTTGTATCTGGCTTTGCTTGGCTTCAGTGGAAAACAGAGATTATTCTGGTGTCCTGCTGTAAGTGGTGACAGAGTGTTTAGTCTGCAGTGCCTGTTCTGACAAGCTGGGCTGTGGTTGGGCTCTTGCTGTAGTACAAATCACCCTGGTGGTGTCTGACCAGCTGTACCAGCTGTCACTCCACTGCAGGTCCCACTGATCCAGCAGCCTCTACTCACTTTGTTTCCACATCTGCCAAGAGTGTTTCCTTTAGCTTGTCAAAAACAACGCTGCAAAGACAGTGGTCTATAAGGGATAGAATAAAAACTTAGCAAAAATAACTTAGGTCACCTCTGTGCTTTTGATTCTCTCAATCATCTTTAAGATCTTAATATTCTTTGCATGGTCTCATCCAAGTCGTGCCCTTTCCTTAAATGAATTACAACTCTGACCCTTCAGCACTACTTCATCACTCTTGATTAGGAAAGTCCCTTTCCTCTCTGTTCTGTGTGTTAACACTGAGAGAACCATACACTGAGTCAGGCAAGTAAAACCCTGCCAGGCTTCTTTTGAAATTTGTTTCTCAAATAATAAAAGCCTGTGCAGTTGCATGATCTAAGTGACTGTTTCATATCTAATGTTAGTCAGTTTTGTAGAATTGACATCCCACATTTGGGTTTCATTCTCATACAAAGTGATATTTACACATGGAGCTCTGAAATCCCTGTGGATTTTAATTGTTTTATTTTTTTACTGAAATTCAACCAGCCCTTCATCTGGTACCTATAATCTACAACAGCTGCAATGCTTCACCATTTTCTATAAAACTGCAAAAGCTCTTGTAGAGGCATAAGAATTGGGAGTCATGTTTTTCTTTGTAAAGTGTATCAATAAATGCTAGATGCATTTTACTGGACAAAGCTGGTAAGTTTTAGTACCTATTTCAGAAACTGATTATAAAAGCTTATAAAACTAAATGTTTGCTATCTTTTAATGTAAAATGGGTACATGCAGCTATTTCAGGCCTTTTATGTCTTAAACTTAGTCCTGCATGATGTCTGAAATAACTGTACTGGGTCTAAGTATCTGTGCTTTGGACCTGTTCTTAATCAGGGTAAATATTTTACTTGATGTCTTCTTTTTAATGCAAGCAGTTTATATCTGTGCACTTCTGCAAGCAGTAAAACCTTAAGAACAGAATCAGTGGCAAAGTATTTGTGTATTTGTGCTCAGTATGCAATTTCCAATGCTAATCTGCTCCTAGGAGAGGAGATGGCTGTAGAGTATCAGAAAACACTTGAGTTCCTGCCTTTTTACAGACTTGTTTTGAACTGTGACAAGTGTTACACAGAGTAGTGAAAATGATACATATTAATGAAGGGGTTTGCCTGATAATTTGCAGTTGATCCTTCCAACTCAGTGAAAGACTGACTTGCTAACAAGCAGGCTGCTTGTGTTCAAAGTGTTCAGGCCCAGGCTGATGTGCACATGTGTGTGTTCCTGCTTTGTGGAGATGTGGTAGCTGATTGCAGTTTGTTTTTATTGAAAACCTGGGTTTAGTTCAATTAAACATGAGTGAGCATTCGGTACTAGGATTACACCACAAGCAAAAGTCTGAAAAAGCCTTGGGTTAGTGGAGTGAATAAAACCAAGCTGAGCACTTGTCACTTGGTTTTTGTCTCTCCAGACATAGTGATAGTTCCAGCCAGAAACGGCAGCTGATCTGTCGAGGAAAGGCTTAGCTTTTGGAGTAGCTGCTGGTGGTACCTTGGTCACTCAGGCTGCATTTCAAGACTTGAAGCATGGTGGCTTTGGATCCAGATTTTTCAAACTGTTTCCAGAGGGCTGTTAGTGCTCTACCAATTCAGTTGTGTGAAAGACAGAACTGCAAGATGTTCCCGCTTCGTCATGTTTAGTTTTTCTGAATTGGTTCTATGCAATTGCATTTAAGCTGAAGAACTATCTCTTGGAAGAGTATTTCACAAGGAAAAGAAAACTAAACCAAACTGGACTCAAGTTGATGAGGATGCACATTGTATTACTGAGACATCACGTCTGTTTCTAAATAGGAAATGATAAAACCACGGACTTCAGTGCTCCTGTGGTTGTTTCATACTCGAAGGTGCCAGGATAGAAACCAAGCCCTGGGTTGTGCTGTCTACCATCTTGACTGTGCTTTAAGGACTTCTTAGTAGTCTCAAAATCTAAATAATATTCTTATGAAAGTTCTCGCTCCCATGGAGGATTTCAAACACAACATAAGGATTGCCACTAATGGAAAAAGCTGTGTGCTGCTTACCAAATCCTAAAGCGTTTGTACTTGGTTCAGAAACACTTGCCTGCCATCAAAAAGAAATGAAGTGGTAGTTCTGACTCTGAAAGGCATTTCAAGTTCCACTTTCAAGCTGACCTGTTCAGTGTCATCTGAAAGATGACACAGGTTTATTAGAGTAGGGGTAAAACATCAAAACCAACAAGAACAAAGCCTCACAGAACCATGGAGTTGCTGAGTTCCAAGGGTGCTTTGCAGTGTAGCCTTTTTATTGAATTAGTTATTCCTAACTTTAGGCCTCCTCAAGAATTCTTTCCTCTTTGGGTGGAGAATAATTATTAGTTTGTTGACAGGAAATGGCAGCAACAGATAAACTCTTCAAGAATTATTTTGTGCATGACCACCCCTTGAACATCTATTTGTCTGTCACTTTTCCCCTTGGAAATTCATTTTATGTCTGACATGCTTGTGCTCTTTACATTTCAAAATTTGCTCCGAGCAAGTTGTCAACAACATATTCAAGTGCCACCATGGCTACTTTGTCCAGTGACCTTTCTTTCAGCTTAATGTTGAAATAAGTGCAGACTTGTGGTTTGCTTAAATGCTTTTAGTCAAGTATGAATGAGTTTCTCCTTTTCAGAAGGGTAGTTTACACATATGATGGTTGTTGTGTGAATGATGCAGAATTATACTTCTTGACTTTGGAATGAGCAGAGCACCCACTGGATCCTGCCATCCTCTCTTTAAGACTAGTAGAGGTAAATAGTTTTTTCACCAGAATGTGCCTGCTCAGGACAGCCTTTGGCCTTTATTTGATGAATTTTGCATCATGTATTTACTCATACACCTGCGACCTTTCAGGTGTCTTGAGTAAAGAATTTTACACCTAAAAAGTGAAAGATTTGCCTTTCATCAGCCTGGCTGATGTGTGCTGTGGCTTCTTTGTGCTGCTGGCTTTTTTAGAACCCAGAGATAGCTGGAGTCTGTTTTTCTTCTACCAAAGAGAAATGAGGGTTATCTGAAAAGGTTAGGTTGATGTGTGCCTCTGCTCTTCTGCCATGCCACTGCTGATTAAAAACGCCTGACACACAGAAGGGACAGGACAGCATCCCTCTAGCTCTGGGAGAGCTTTTACCATTCTTTAAAGCCTTTTTATAGTTCTCTAAATGAAGTAGAAGAAATGGGCAAATGCTCTTCAACTACATGTATTTGTTTCTCTTATTGCTGTTCATTTTTATGAAGGTCATGAAAATAAAGCATGCAGTGGAGGACTGTGTTAATTCAGTTTCTTAATTCTTTAAAAAACCAACAGTGCTTGGATTTTTCAGGACTATTTGCAGCCTAAAGTAGGAAATTAAAAATGGAATTAAATTGGAAATTTAAGTGGAAAATTGAAAAGGTTGTCATCTCCTAGTTTGAAAGATTTTGTTCATGCTTGGCCAACTGGCATATGCTCTTCCCAAAAAATGAAGTTATTTTAGACTTCTGATTGAGCCGTTGGGAGAACAAAATTGCAGGTCCTTTGAAATAACTAACAGACTTACCAGTGATTTTTGTTTTTTGTGGGACCAATGACACTGTAGTTGGAATATGAACAAGAAAAAATTGTTTGCTATTTTAAATTTAGTGCAAGTGTATTTTCTCAAGTGGTTTCTATGTTTTTACCCTTACTCAACCACAGTCAAGTTTTTAAGTGTAACACCCTCAGCAGGAGACAAGATCTAGGTAAAGGCCATGAGCAAATGCATGTAGTGTTCCTTCTGGTTTATGTCCTGTTAGATATAAGGTGGCAGCTTACTCAATCATATTTATGGATCTGCTTATTCTTCCTATCAGCTTCAGCATAAGTACCTGGTGCTTTTGGATAAGACATTTATGAAACAATACATCACAGCACATTGCCTTACACAGCCAGTGGGCAGGGCTCCAGTTCTGGTATATGGAATTTCTGCTGGTGAGCTGAGTGCATTCAGTACATCAATCTAATCCTGCCATGATGGAAAGGGATCACAGGGAGAAGAAGCTGCTTCTGGTAGTTGAGATCTTCGCCAGGAAAGTCAACCTTTCCCCAGTCCACTGCTAACTAGGGCTTGCTGGCCAACATGCCTTAGGCTGCAGGTGCAGGAGAGCTGCCCAAGTGCATGTTGTTTCTGGGATGTCTCAGCACTGCCAGAGGGGCTTTCATTTGGAGACAGGTTCTTTTCCTTGGGAGTTTTCTTGTGGCACAGATGTCATATGGCTGCTCTAAATACACAGCAGCCATGATACACAGCAAGCCAAATCTTGGTGCAGCTCAACTCAGTTGACTTTGCACTGGAAGTCACAGTGCAGGAGCTGAGCTGCCACCTCTCATTATTTGAGAGTTACTTGACTACTGCTGATCCTGAGGTTTCTTAGTTGATTCTCACCCTAGAAACAAGTGCACCCATCGGCCCTGAGCTAAAGGCTGTATTGAATGTTACAGGCTGAGTTACTCAGCTTGAAGTTGTTTCAGAAAACTTGTCCCTCTTGATATTTTTTTTTTGTCTCTAGCTGAAGGAAAGCCTCAAAACCCCCAGCTTCTGGTAAAAGTGATTCAGTAATAGTTTCTGTAAGTGTGGAGGCTAGTGATGGTGAACTCTGAATGGGGATAGCTGCCTTATAATTGCCACTTGCAATTAACAAATTACTGCCAAACTGCTCCTCGTGGGTTTCCCTTTCTTAGGTGTCCATGTCACATGCTTTGAGAGTCCTGAGCAACATTCAGGAGTGGTCTTGTCACATGCAGGTTATAGAAAAAGCTTAAATAGGAAATATGTCCTTGCACTTGATTCAAGAAAGTTCTTGCAGAAGCTTTGCTCATGCTTCTTCTGGGTATGGCTGTGGAGTCCTGTCTTCCTGAGTTATCTATTGTTGTATGTAAAATGATCAATATTTTAAGTTTTCATTACTGCCACTTAGTAAAACATCAGCTCGAAGATGATCTACTTTTTGGATCATGCAGCCCAGTGCTTTGTGTGCTCCAAGTGCCCAGGATTCTGTGCCCAGAAGCAGCAAAATGCTTCCTGCTGGATTTTGGTTTGTGCTCCTTCTCCCTCTCTGGAAATGGATCAGTCTGGTAGGGAGACTAGACAAGCAGTGAAGAGTTACAGATATTTGGTTGTACCTGTTTGAGTTAACTTGTAACTGGTGCTTGTCTGTATGTTAATTTAATTATCATGTTGCTCCAGTGCCTCAAAGCTGTGTTGGCTTTCTCTGCGTGTGTTGCAAAACTTGTTCAGTAGTTTGTTGTGAAGCGATTGACATTTTGATTGCCTTTATTTCTTTGTAGAGCAAGGCTTAGATCACATAGCAGAAAACATCCTTTCCTATCTTGATGCCAGATCACTCTGTGCAGCAGAACTGGTGTGTAAGGAATGGCAGAGAGTCATCTCTGAGGGGATGCTGTGGAAAAAACTGATTGAAAGAATGGTACGCACAGATCCGCTGTGGAAGGGCCTGTCAGAGAGAAGGGGTTGGTAAGTACCTTGACCATCACCAAATCCACCTTTTACAATGTTCTCCTTCACAGATTTCCCTAATCATGAGCTCTGCCAAAACGTAAGCTGATAGTAAATGGCTGTCCCTGAGATCCTTTTCTCTGCCACGGACTCTTTTTGGGAGAACTGTCAGCTCCCTTTCTACTTCAGCTTTGTCCCCTGTCCTTTGTACACCAGTGTATTTTAGCACTTGCTTTCTTGCAGTAAATCTGTCAGCAAAGTTGTATTTTAACATGTAGAATCAGCTGGCAGAAACCAGCAACAGCATCTTTTGTAGGGCTTTTTCTTGAGGGAAGAATTCCCAATTAAACATTATTTTTTTTTCTGTTGTTAAAACGTAAAATAGCCAGTTGGGTTGCAGGTTGCAAGAAGCCCCTCTCGAAAAGAAACCTTTTATGTTTGTGGCCAAGGGGTTTTTCAGTCCTTCACGGGTGTGTGAAGAGGTTTGTTCTGCTATGGAAACCTTCTGTGCTCTCTAGTGGTGTGCCTAAGAAAATGCAAGGCACACTGAAAGAGCAAGAGAACACCCTGCTGGCTAAAACCCTTAGGAAGCAGTGAATCCTAATTTGGAAGACCACAAGGAAAAACCTGTTATCTTTTCAGTCTTGGACATTTTAAACCCAACTGTCAAATTCTGTAGTCAGAAGGGTTACAGCAGCAATGCTAAAAAGACTTCCAAGTGTTCTGCTAGAATGTGTTACAAGCTTTTGTGCTGCACAGGTTTGGGATTCCTCTAAAGTTTGGATTCTTTGTGGTAAATGTAAAAATGTTTCTGGTTCTTTCTAGGGATCAGTACCTGTTTAAAAACAGACCAACAGATGGCCCCCCAAATTCGTTTTACAGGTCTTTATACCCAAAGATAATCCAGGATATAGAGGTAGGTGTTCTGATAAATAATACCTGCAGGAGAAATGATGTTGGATGTTGTTGGTGCTTGAAAGATGGTGCCTGTTGGAGCAATGAAGCCCATTGTATGTGTCCTTATCACTGCTACTTGGTGAGCTCTGGCTCTTCAGACAGTGTTCAAAACACCCTCAGGAACTTAGTACTGCAGTAACATGTTACTTGAGGTGTTAACACCATTGTTTTTCCCTGTAAAGATTTTTGGACCTTTTGTGGGACAATGAATAACTGTTTTAGGGAATGTTTGAGAATGATCAGTCTTACAGTGATAAACACAGCAGGGGTGTTGGTGGTAAAAAGGCTGCAGAAATAACTTATTTTCTTTGATATAAAATTCTGCTTTTTTTGTTCAAGAGTTAAAAAGCTGAGCTTGCTCACTTGTTTTCAAATGTTTCTGATAAACCAGGACCATCTTGGTATTCTGCCCACCAGCAGAAAATCTGCCTTGCTCAGTTTGCTGTGTACCCACCACAACACTCTGAAGTTCTGCCACAGGCTGGAATGGATTTATTGTAACCACGTGATGGATGTGAAATGATGGGTCTGAAATTCATTAGTGGGGAAACACATGTTGTGATGTTTAAGACAGATGTAAACTCATGGAATCACTCTGCTGTGGCAAATGTGAGATTGTGTCACTTGCCACTCAGGAAACCAAATTATTCAGAACTCTTCACCTATCTGTAAAATGTATCTGCTGGAAAATCTAGTGTTCCAATATTTTTTTTATAACCTTTGCTACATGATTGAGGAACACTGAAAGATAAAGAACAAAACCTGAAGTATTGCCTAGGTAAAATAAGATCGAACTTGATATTTTCTTGTGAGCTGAATGCTGCACGTTGTATTATTTGAAGGGAGGTGTCTGCTCTGTGTAAGGAATGACAATGATATTGCAGTGATAAGAAGCCCATGGGACTAATGAGGACTCTTAATGTCACATTTTCTTGCTTTCTGTAACATTTTGGCACTGCTCAGTAACAAAAGTGGGTGTAGAGCAGTGTGAAAAGATGACTTTTGAGATCATGTAGAACACTGAAGGGGTTCAGCATTATTAGAACTCAGATTGTTAAAGTTATTTTTCTGAAACTCATTTGTTTAAGTGGAACGTTTGTATAGGAATTCTTGTTATTAGAAGTGGGAATGTTCTGAGGCCATCCAGCCTTTGGATTGCCACAATCTGCTGTTTCATCCTTTGGTTGCTGTACATGTGATAGTACCTTGCACAGTAAGGAAGCTCCTGGATTGGACAGCTTTTGCTAGTATGAAACAAGCAGGGAAAAAACTACAAACTCTTAAGCTTTGCTTGTTGCTAATATGTTAAATGTGAAAATGTTGAGTCTCTAAATATCAGGGAGTGGGTAACAAGTGTACCACTGAAAATATGTCATAGTACTGGACATGTTTCTTGAAAAACTACATTTCCTTGGGGTAACAGTGAATGTATTAAAGTCTCAAATAAGGTGAAGGTTTTGAACTGCACTACCTGAAAAGAAAGGGCTGGTGTGTTGAGTGTGGATGGAAAAGGCATCAGCCAGGAAAACCAGGAAGCACAGTTTAATTATATTCTTTGAACCCTAACTTTCTTTCAGAGTTTCAACTCATACATTTTTATTTTTTGACTACATAATGCTCAGGTGGATGAGGTGATAATTGTAGAATGTGCAGAGCAAGGGGTTACCTGGTGTCAAGCTTTGGGAGTGGAGGTGGAGCTGGAGCAGCAGAGCTGTGTGTCAAACATGCTGTGCCACTAGTGCTTAAAAATAGTGCTGTGAGTAATGAGTGTGGGAAAGGAGGTGTCTCTTCTGTGGGGTGCCAAGAGTAAAATGTAAGCTGTTGCCATGGTTTCTGCCCATTCTAAACTGCCTGGCAATCCAGTTGTTTTACATATTATTTCTGTAGTGTCTTATCTAATGCTTATGTCCTTAATGCTGTTAAACATCAGTGGGTCATGTGGGGATCTCCTGTGTGTCTCACACTCAGATGAAGGGAGGCAACAATAGAGAAGGAATCACAGACGGAGAATTAGGGCCCTTCAGGCAAGATCTCCTGTAGTTCTGTGCTTTCCATTCTGTGCTTGTGTCTGTCAGCTGTGTTTGGTTGTTAGCCTCTTGGGGGTAGAATTGAAGACTTTGTCAACACACCTTAATGCTGCCCGTGGATCCTTTGGTGGAGCAGTAAAGCTGAAAGGAGCTGTGGGCTCTTGCCTCTGAACTTCACTTTAGCAAAAGTAAGGGCCCAGATTCAGGAAACAAATGTATTTGTCCAGTCTTCTGAAGTGGTGAATTCTCTCTTTGAAAAGTAGCAAATACTTCCAGCATCCTCACTGCTCAGTTCATACAGTCAGGGCCTTTCCTGCTTCTCCAACATTGCTGACCTGGAGGGAGGAGGCAGAAGGACAGGGGTATTGTGCCATGTCAGTTTTTTCCCTACTTACATATTTCCTTCAGGCCTTCTGAAATCCTGCTATTTTCCAGGTTTCCAACCTGGAGTGGGGTTTTAGTGTTCCTGCT